TCTCTCTCTCGATATATATATCGATTTATATATATCGATATATGTATGTATGTATATATATGTATATATCAAGAGAGAGAGAGATCAAATATAATAAATATACTAGTAATATGAGTAATATAAGGAGTGGATTTGGTTATATATATATATATATATATATATATATATATATATATATATAAGATAACTCACATAGTGTTCTGGTGTCAACATTGCTCGATGTAATGAGTTAATAAGTAGATATTAATAAATATACATATTATCCCTCACCGGTAACACGACTCATGAACAATTCAATCTTCTAGCCAGCACACAAACACGCACACACACACACACACATATATATATATATATATCGAGAGAGAGAGAGAGAAAAGGAGAGATATCTAATATATTCAATATAGTAGTAATCGACTCTCCCGTCGAGATTCGACGTATGAGGGTCAAGCAGATCAGTTTCCAGGAAACCGACAGCCCGACACCGGCACATGAGATTTGATTATAGTAGTGAAGGACTCGTGTAGGACCATCCACACTTTTTGAAGGGACGAATACAGAGACCTGGTGCACCGAATGCCACAACGTTCCCAAACGACTCTCCGCAGGTTTTGAATTCAGAGTCGTCCTTCTCCTAGACCAGTTGCTATCCAAGGCTATAGAACCCAGTCTGTCCTGCTATTTTACCCATAACTGGAGGGAGAGGAAGAGGATTCATACCTTTCCCAAGGGTATTAGCACGTAAGTGAATGTAATGGATTCGACTGGAATTCGAACTCGGCTCTGCGATTCCTCAATCCAAGCCGCCATCCATTACTCCACCGTGCCAAAGATACTAGTAATATAGTAGTAATATGAGTAATATAATGGCTGTATTTGGTTCACTGCCACTCATTCTAGCCGTCTTACATGGACGCGTTTATAGACATACATACACCCATATACGCATCCCCACCCAATATACGCACACCCGCATTCATACCACTGAAATCATCTTTGTATTTCTTGCACAGAGATAGAATTAAAGTACTGGGTTCATGCCTTACTGTTTAGATTACCTTTATACCAGTTACAGCCATTTACATAGAAAACCATATTTATGTGAACTGTTTATGAATTATTTGCTTTGAACTGACACATAGACATTATTTCTATTGTCCCAACGGGAAAATTACTTTCCAGACCTAATTTATAATATGGAAACCCAATAGCCATAATATTTGAAGATGGATTCTTTATTGGATAACATTGTCGACAGACATAGCAGCTTTCATTTTTAGAAAATTAATCGAAAAATACAAAAAGTACTGAATTAGAAATTCGCATTTTAGAACGATATTATTGCAAAAACGTGGAGCTATAATTTTTAAGTAGATATTCTAACAGTTTTTACAGGTCATAGAGTTTAACAACTGATTGCAAATTATACCTGTTAAAACTGACAAAAATTAGAAATATGTCACCAACTAATGATTATGCAGAACGGATGGAACCAGTGCAGAAGTGTCTTAATAATCATCCACAGACTATTGTCGAATACCCGAGGGGAAATGATCTGCTTACTGCGTATCACGGCCTCCATACATGAGAATTTCATGCGTTGTTGTTGATTAAAAAGTATTATAGTAAATAATGAGTATTGAAAATTTTATTTGTTTCCCGCTTCTCTACACAAGTGTAATCAAAGGCAGAAAGACAAAGAATGGGATTTTGAAATATTTTTGAAATTTCTAAGAATTCGTTTAAATATATGAAAATTTTGTATATTGCATGATTTCGTCCCCAGATGAGAAAGTGAATGATATTTATTCTTCAGGTAATTTCATTTCATAAGAGGGAAGATAATTTTAAAAATAATAAAAGAAAATAATTTTAACTAAAATTTCAGATATCAATGAAAAAGAGAAACGTTTATTGAATCTTAATAATTAGTAGAATAATTAGTAGAATAATTAGTAGAATAATTAGTAGAATATTCGTAGATTTTGAAATATTGGTTTTTCGGCGTTTAAATTCGAACTCTACTGATTTTTATTTCATTTATTTTAACAACTAAAAGATGTACATAACATTGACGTTTCGTTTGACCAAAAGCAATTTTTATTCCAGAATCTTTAATTCTTCCTTCAAATTATATAGAGTTTATAAAAATTGAATTAACTTTTCTGTACAAAATAAAACGAAATTTTCCTTATAGATCCAGCAGAATTCATAAAATGCAAACTTTTCTGTGAAGTTTCAATAATGAAAGAACAATTTAACTTTTAAATATGAATGAACAAGTTTAAATTTTTAATTAAGTTTAAAGAATAATTTTTTAAATACTCTTTTTAAAGAAAAGCCAAAAATTATTATTATTTAATTCAGTGATCATCCGACAACCGGCTTAATGATCCACGCACCTAACCTTATAGTGATTTTCTAAGTGTAGCTTAGATGTGGCACAAAGCCGAAAGTAAGGGGCCCCAGTAAGGGGCTACTCAGTCGTAATTGTTCTAACGAGACAAGCTTGCTAAACATTACACCGCTTCGAGGTGCCCTACGCACCGAACCTTATAATAAGCATTTTATGAACTTATCTCGTACGGTCAAATCACGCTGAAACACCGGTTCTCGTACGATCACCGAAGTTAAGCATCGTAGAGCCAGGTCAGTACTTAGATGGGGGACCGCTTGGGAACACCTGGTACTGTAAGCCCCCAAAGTCCAACCCTTAGCTCACAGTCGGTGGGGGGGTGTAAACGGTAGTGTCAGAGCTATGCCGCCCGGAACTTCGTTCCTGGTAGGTCTGACACACACGCCGGCTAACAAGGGCTCTGGTGAAAATCCAAGGAGCGTCTGCATCGGCAACCGGTGGCTTCTGGTCGTTCCTGTCTCTGCGTCTGTGGGAATCCCGCGGCAAGCAAGAACGTTATCCGAGTAGGCCTGGGTACCCTACTTCTGTAATTTATCAAGAACGTTATCCGAGTAGGCCTGGGTACCCTACTTCTGTAATTTATCCCAAGAATCTTCTTCTCATAACAGGAAGAAGCCGGCTCAATCCGCCCAGGGTGAATGCCGCATCAGTACTGTACAGTAAGATATAGAACAGAAATATAGTACTGTACAGTAAGATATAGAACAGAAATATATCAAAAGCAATGAAACTTTGTTGAAGGCACTGAATAGAAGAAAGAATGCTATCTTTACGGTCAGAATTCTATTAGTGCAGACAATACAAATACAACACCTGCTTCATAGATTAAAAAGCGTTCGATATGATTTGAAATACAAGTAGATTCGATTCATTTGGAAAATATATAGGAATGATCCGCATCATTTACTGGGATAAATCACCTGCGATAGGAGAGAAAACGATTTAAGTAAAAAGACAAAAATAGAGGAGTAAGGCAAAGATACATTTTTTTCTCATAGGATTTTTTAACCCCGACAACGAAACGATCCAAATAAGACTCACCAGGCAATATAACACACGCCGATGACACTGTGATAATTGTGGCCTCAGAAGGAAAACTGCAAAATCTCCCACAGAACGTAGAAATCACTAATCATAAATACGCGAAGACAGAATATATGGTCGTTGGGCACCTCGAGGCGGTGTAATGGTTAGCAAGCTTGTCTCGCTAGAACAATTACGACTGAGTAGTGAGTTCGATCCTCACTGGGTGCCCCTTACTTTCGGCTTTGTGCCACATCTAAACCACGATCGGAAAATCACTATTGGGCACCTCTAGGCGGTGTAATGGTTAGCAAGCTTGTCTCGCTAGAACAATTACGAGTGAGTAGTGAGGTCGATCTTCACAATGTGCCTCATACGTTCGGCCTTGTGCCACATATAAGCTACGCTTGGAAAATCACTATATGGTCGTAAGCAAAAGAGGCAGTCAGTGGAATGAGTTTCGAATTGGAGACATTGCAATCAAGCAGGTGCACAACATATTTATCGGTCTAGATAGTGTTATAACAGTCGTCGAAAAGTTTGACATCAGAAAGCACTTTGGATCAACGAATCATGCTTTCCATGTAAAGCGTTTATATATAGAAAAATTTAATTGGTAGCAAAGTAAAGAATGCCAACCTACGATGTAGTATCTATAGTATTGTAGGGTTGAACAGGTCCGGCGAGAAGACCAATCCTTGCCTTACGCTCCTTTATATTTTCGTATATTCACTATTGTGGGGTAATGAGTACTTAATGAAAAAGGGATTCTAAAGGACAGAGATGTGAGTCACTCTAATATTATGAAGAGAACATTTGCGCGACGATTGAAGTTTTAAAGAAAAATTAGAAATTATTAGAAATAGACGGTTGACATTTCTGTCATATGTTATGGGGAAAAGAAGCTTTGAAAATCAACACAGACGCAACAAAATAAACGCAGATAGGGTAGAAGAAAACGGTGTTTAATATAGCTAAAGAATTTGGCTGAATGGATAGCAGATCAGGGACAAATAGGGAAAGAGTCAAACATTGCTTAAAGCAACAAGACGGGAAGTTATGGAGTGTCATGCTCGTTCAAGGAAGAAACCCGTTACAGAAAGAAGAGAAATATGTGTTGCATGATTAGGCTTCAACTCCGAAATATATGACTTGAAACTTTGTGCAAGACTTGTTATTTCCAGTCGCATCGATTGGGCATCCTCTGAACGTTAATGGGATGATAACTTTCAAGTGTGATTTGTAATCAGACGCACGTTTTAACCATTCGGATGCTCTTTTTATTCCACTGTTCCATACACTGGACATTGTCGTTTTTAATTGCACTGACCCGATCAAAAAAGAATTACTTTAACGGTAGGTGGTACGACATTGGATCGCGAATGTCTATGTAACACTTTTGTTCTTTTCTCTCACAGCTGTTTTCTTCCCTTTTTACAATGTCTTTTCCGAAATTACTTATAGCCACAGTTTAAGTTTTTTAAGTGAACCTTTAAGGCGATCTATTTTAAAGGCCTATTTTAATAATAAATTATTCAAGGGTTAATATTTTTCTTTTTGATAGACTTTCGTCTACATTTTATTCTTTTTATTCTTTTTATTCTTTCGTTTTCACCTTTGCTTTTCTTCTTTGTCATCTTCTTCTTCTACCATCATCGTTTTCTTCTTTTTCGATTTTTTTCTTCACTTTCACTCTTCTTCTCCGAATTCATTTTATTCTTCTTTCTTTCTTTCTTTCTTTCTTTCTTTCTTCTTTTACCTTTCATTCTTTCGCTTTCTTCTTTCTTTTTCTTTGCTTCCTCTAATCTTTTAATTTTTTCGTCCTTTTCTTCTTTCACATTCGCTCACTCAATTTCTTCACATTATTTGCAAATGCTAACTTCATTTTAACTATCTGTCTATATTTCTGAAATGACGTATTATTTAGATTATTTAGACGTATTATTTAGATTATTCGGACTATTGTCCTCATCTTTGATGCCATATTTATCACAACGCTTAGGCCTTTCAGTATCTGTCTATATTTCTGAGATGAGGTATTATGTACACTATTTACATTATTCGGACTATTATCCTCATCTTTGTCGCCATATTTACTACAACGTTTCGGCCGTTCAGTATCTGTCTATATTTCTGTGATGAGGTATTATGTAAACTATTTACATTATTAGGACTATTATCCTCATCTTTGTCGCCATATTTACTACAACGTTTCGGCCGTTCAGTATCTGTCTATATTTCTGTGATGAGGTATTATGTACACTATTTACATTAATCGAACTATTGTCCTCATCTTTGTTGCAATATTTATTACAACGTTTCGGCCGTTGTACGCTCCGGCCTTCTTCAGGTGGTTGGAATGTCGAACTGAACCCTTTATTCCCCTCGCATGGCACAGTGGATAAAGACATTGGTTAGATCCAGGGACAGGACCCAAAGAGTTGTGAGTTCAATATCCAGTTAAGGCAGTGGAGAACTTTGAGAGGTGAATTAACAGGAGGTAACGGATAACTGACATCCATTAGAAATGGCATGTGTAACTAGAAGAGTCTACCCTAGCGAGCAAAATAAATGTTTCAGTTCGACATGACTTCTTCAGAAAGATAGTGCTGTGGTTTCACTGTTTCCAGTCATTCACCTAGATATGGTGTCAAAGCTAGAGTTACTCACAACTCGGCTACTTAAACTATAGGTGGGCGAAGAAAAATGATGTGTATTAATGTCTTTCTCAGGGGAAAATATTCCTTTTCTTCTTGCTATGCTATGTGCCGTGTCCCTTCTAGACATTGGCGATCATGGCTCTTCAAACTTTCATGTCCATTGTAGCTTTTAATAAATATTGTATTTTTGTTATTTCTCTTAAACCTTGTTTCACTATTCATTTACTCAAGTTTGTGAGGAAGGTATACATTGTTTTTTCTCTGTCAATCTTGACTTAAATCTGTCCTCTGAGTATCAAATTCTCCAAACCCTCTTTCTGATTCCTTGGCTTACGGCGACAACACTTTTAAACACCGGCCCCTGCACGATGAACGAAGTTAATCAACGTCAGTATCTAGATGGATGATTGCTTGGAAATACCAGGTGCTGTGAGCTTGGATGTGCAGGTGGTGTAATGGATAATGGCTCGGAATTGTTAATCAGTGAGCCGAGTTCTAATTCCACTTGCAAGCAGATACATTGGGAAAGGCATGAATCCAACTCTTTCCTCAACTCATTGGTTAATTAATAAGACTTGCACTACTAAATCTTTGTTACCTAAAAAAAAAATTTTACAACGTAAAAAGATTTTCTGTCTTTAAATAACCTGTAAAATGGTAGAAAATGAAGCAATAAATCCACCAATGCCTCTTCCTGGTATTAAGTGTCCTTTTTATTTCCATTTTCTCTAAAACTTCGCAGATACTCGATCAATAGTATTCTCAGAATAATTAAAAGCCGTAGACTAGGCTAGAATTTAAATCGGATCGTCCATTTTAATTTCGAGGCCAATAACCGTTACTCTACCAGCACATCTAGAGTTTCATTAGGAAATTTTGAAAACAATTACCAAAATGAACTTTCGCGTAATGTTTTATGTACAGGTAATGATAGCGATTTTCCAAGCGTGGGTTAGATGTGGCACAAGGCCAAAGTATGGGGCACCCAGTGAATATTGAACTCACTACTGAGTCGTAATTGTTCTGGCGAGACAAGCTTGCTAACCATTACACCGCCTCGAGGTGCCCAATAGTGATTTTCCAAGCGTAGCTTAGATGTGGCGCAAGGCCGAAAGTATGGGTCACCCAGTGAGGATCGAACTCACTACTCAGCCGTAATTGTTCTAATGAGACAAGCTTGTTAACCACTACACCACCTCGAGGTGCCCAATAGTGATTTTCCAAGCGTAGACTAGATGTGGCACAAGGCGGAAAGTATGGGGCACACAGAGAAGATCGACCTCATTACGCATTCGTAATTGTGTTAGCGAGATCAGCTTGTTAACCATTACACCGTCTTAGGGTGCCCATGTGCAGGTGATGATATGTCATGTAAAACTTTACCTACACGAGAAGATCTCGTTAATAACATGCAGTTTTGTTCGATAGTTATCAGGTCTCTCTTTAATAAACGTCTCCTCCTTCTTAAACATCCCCCTCTCTCTCTCTCACACACACAGACACGCACACACACATAAACACACATATAAATATATTTAATGAACAACTTTAAAAATATTAATATTAGTAATATTTATATTCAGATTATATTTAATTCCTACTTTATTCTATTGAGAAATTAATACGCTTAAATTACTATCAAAAGTTAGCGGAAATTATAAAAAAATAAAAATAAAAAAAATATATAACTCTGTGTTTTTCCAAATTAGCCGCTATATACAATAATTCTCTTAATTTCCCTTTCCAAATCTCTATTCCTCTTTCTTTCCTTTAAACCTTAATTCCCCCTCCGATTTCTTAAATCTTTACTTCTCTCTTTTCTCTCTTTATAACATTTCCGGTGAGACGACCTATGAAACATGTCTGTCGCACTATCTCTCACCACACTCTATATCACCTTACATCAACTTAATACTAGCCTTCAAAAGTGTAAAATATATATATATATATATATATATATATATATATATATATAGATCTAAATTCATTTTCTTCACCCTTGGAAGTGTGGTCTGATGAGCCAGGAAAAAAGAAAATCCATGGGGAAATAAATTCCAACCAATGGACCCTTAAAGTTGTCTGTTTTCCTTAAATTAGTCTCTCTGATTTAACATTGAGCTCTCCGGATTTCATCCTCCTTGGGATTATCCATACAGATTACCAAGATTTTCATTACTTATGTATATATATATGTTTGCTCTACTCTGCATTCAGCACTCTTTTAAGAATAGTATATGTTGGTTATTGGAATGTATTCTGTATACACCAATCCTATACTTGGTCTATATATATATATATATATATATATATATATATATAGTAATGAAAAGTTTGGTAATCTGTATTGATAATCCCAAGGAGAATATAATCCAGAGAGCTCAATGTCAAATCAAGCAATTATTAATTAAATCTAAATTAGGATGGTCTGCTTTCTATTTAAATTGGACTAAAATACATATAAATTATTAAATTTGATTAATATATATATATATATATATATATATATATATATATATATATATATATATATATATATTTCAATAAAGGTGCAATTAATTTACAAATTCATGAATTATTCATACAAAAAAACAAATACAAAGGATAATAATTTAATTGGCGAGAAATCCATCGTCGCGAACAATTCAAATAATATACAAAAACCCCGAACCTGTTATGAATGAAAAGATCCTTGTTTTTATAAATTTCGGTTGCATTAGTTCTTATTTTACTACAAGCTTTCTTCAGGTGTGGAATAGATTTTGTTCTTGTTTTTACTCTCAGTAATAAGAGGACAACGAAAATAGATGCATTGTAATCCGAAAAATGCTATTAGAAATGAGTTATTGTTTTTGGAGCGTGCAGTCGCAATGCTGAGTTTGAATTTAAATTTTACGATTGTGCGTTCTTGTACAAATATAGTGATAAGTGAATTCTTTTTTACTGGTAAATTTTCTGTCAAAGTGGCATAAATAAAGAACAAAATCTATCTGTGTATGTATATATGTATATTTCTTTCTGTGCGTAGGTGTATTCTTAACTGCGAAGAGAGAATAGGAGGCTATCGATACTCTTATGTATAGACATTGAAAAGTAACTTTATCAGCGTTTCCTATTCATTCAGTTGCTATTTGCCAAATCTTTCTCTCATAAATTACTGACTATGCTTTGTCCTGTGGCAAATCGTTCATGTGGGTAGGTATATGGCTGTTCAAGATAGAAAGCATGGCCAAACACTGTCTATGAGCGTCACCGACCTCTTCAAATCTCTCCACTAATGGCACTTTGAGTGCGTGATTTCTGGTCGTTCTGAAACACCTCGGGAGCTACAAGAAAATGGTTGTCAAATGAAAGCAGCAAAAATGAAATAAACACCGAATCTCAAGAGAGGAAAGGACGAGTTCTGCAAATAGTGGAATCAAAAGGATATTCAGAGAGTTCAATATCAGGGGAAAAGCAAGGCTAGAGCAAAATGTATTCGTATCGAACAGGGAGGAGAGTGGGGTCTGCGATGAGAAAAGATCGGCGTCGGAGCCGATGAAGGAGGGAAGGATGTTGTGTTCGTTTCAATATCTGGAAATAATTGTCCGCGTGAAATGGTGCAAAACGTTTTAGATAGCTTCAATCATTATTGAGGGAAAAGTGCGAATATGAAGACAGATAAAATGAGAGAGAGAGAGAGAGAGAGAGAGAGAGAGAGAGAGAAAAGGAGGGAAAGAGACACTCATGCATAAATAGCGATTTGATAAAATATGCTATTGTATATGTGTTTAAAAGAGATGGTCGTGCATGGGTGCGCTTCTGTATCGATCTCTTTCCCACGAGATACACACACTTATAATCCACTTATTTAATTGTTGATATTTTATATCTGTTTATTCATTTCAACATATACCTCCATCTAAATCTTTTCAGATGTCATTATATCTATCTATCTATCTATCTATCTATCTATCTATCTATCTATCTATTACAGTCTGTCCCTATCATTCTAACTTTGTTTATATCTATCTATCTATCTATCTATCTATCTATCTATCTATCTATCTATCTAAGCGACTTAATTCATATCTATCTATCTAGCTAGCTAGATAGCTAACTCAGTATGTTAATATCTAATACCAATTTATTTCATCCATTCTTTCTTTCTTTCTTTCTTTCTATCTATCAATCTATCTCAGTTAACATCTATCTATATATATATGTCTGTTCATATGTATGTATGTATGTATGTATCTATTACAGTCTGTCCCTATCTTTCTAACTTTGTTTCTATCTATCTATCTATCTATCTATCTATCTATCTATCTATCTATCTATCTATCTATCTATCTCGGTTAATATCTATCTATAGATGTAAGTCTGTTCATAAGTATGTGTGTATGTATGTATGTATGTATCTGTCTCAGACTCTATCTATCTATCTATCTATCTATCTATCTATCTATCTATCTATCTATCTATCTATCTATCTAATCTCTTAATTCTATCTATCTATCTATCTATCTAGATAGATAGATAGGTTACTCAGTATGTTAATATCTAATACCAATTTATTTCATCCATTCTTTCTTTCTTTCTTTCTTTCTTTCTTTCTTTCTTTCTTTCTATCTATCAACCTATCTCAGTTAACATCTATCTATATATATATGTCTGTTCATATGTATGTATGTATGTATCTATCTATTACAGTCTGTCCCTATCATTCTAACTTTGTTTATATCTATCTATCTATCTATCTATCTATCTATCTATCTATCTATCTATCTATCTATCTAATTAATATCTATCTATAGATGTAAGTCTGTTCATAAGTATGTGTGTATGTATGTATGTAGGTATCTGTCTCAGACTCTATCTATCTATCTATCTATCTATCTATCTATCTATCTATCTATCTATCTATCTATCTATCTATCTAAGCGACTTAATTCATATCTATCTATCTATCTATCTATCTATCTATCTATCTATCTATCTATCTATCTATGTATCTAGATAGGTTACTCAGTATGTTAATATCTAATACCAATTTATTTCATTCATTCTTTCTTTCTTTCTTTCTTTCTTTCTATCTATCAACCTATCTCAGTTAACATCTATCTATATATATATGTCTGTTCATATGTATGTATGTATGTATCTATCTATTACAGTCTGTCCCTATCTTTCTAACTTTGTTTCTATCTATCTATCTATCTATCTATCTATCTATCTATCTATCTATCTATCTATCTCTCTATCTCGGTTAATATCTATCAATAGATGTAGTCTGTTCATAAGTATGTGTGTATGTATGTATGTATGTATCTGTCTCAGGCTCTATCTATCTATCTATCTATCTATCTATCTATCTATCTATCTATCTATCTATCTATCTATGTCTGTATCCATTTCAATCTACTCAGTTCTGCCTATACGTCCACATTCTTCCATTTGTTATTCTAACCATGTTTCTGTCTATCAGTGGAGCTGCTTCCATTCCAATCGAAACTCCTATAAAAATGTACCATTGCCTTTTTAAAGTGTTTGGATTCAAGATAAGGTAAGATTCTGAATGTTTATTCTCAATCAAAACAACGAAATGTTGTACATGTATTTCATTCATGTTTTCATATATTTGTCTCTTGCTTGTTAATTATTTAAACTCAACAGATATTTAAATCTATATCATTAGATCCTGTGTTTCGTGCCAACAGATTAAACGGGAGTCGACGTGGTTTTTTATCTATCATCCATTTGCGGGGATGTTTTTAGCCGTATGACGCATGTGTAACGTAATACGTAAAGATATAGTGTAACTGTGGCACATCTGAGCGGTTGATAGGATGTAAAACTGTTTACCCGTGGAGTGAATAGACCTGAAAGAAAAAACTCTGTAAGATTATTTTAATTATAGCAACGATAGCAAAGACATACTAGAGATATACGCACCTTTTAGTCTGGTGTCAGTGTCACGTGGTAACAATGCTAACCATAATAAGTTTAACGGAAAATTACACCAAAACTTTGGTATCGCCCTGCACGTATCACTTAATAGACAAAAGGCATTTTGTGGGGTTTTCAAATCGAAGAAGCAGATTCACAATTAAATCAGGAAGTAATGTTTCCCATTGGCTCAACAATCCTCTTCCTCATTCTGCCATACTCTCTCCCAATTTTTTTCTTTCTTTCTTTCTTTCTTTCTTTCTTTCTTTCTTTCTTTCTTTCTTCTCTCCAGTTTTTCTTTCTTTCTTTCTTTCTTTCTTTCTTTCTTTCTTTCTTCGAAAGCCGTTTCATGGCGCCTGGATTAATTCTGTACGCCTTATCAGCGCCAGTCGTCGGTGTTTGAGCCTAGGTAAAAGCCAGCATTTCGAAGGTAACATTTTGAAGCAAGTAGGCCTTCATTTGAATTGTTTTTTTTTTTTTATATCTCGCTTATATTATGCTTAGTAACCCCGAAATCAAACAAAACAGGGCATGATATAAACTTTGGTTTGCGTCGCTACTGCGTTCAGCGTTCTTTTCAGTCCATACGAAAATGTCAGTGTTCGACTTCAGAATTGCAACTATTGAATTTCAATACCGACCGCTAAGCTCTCTCCATTTAAACGACCGGTACTACACAATTTAATCTCTCTAGTTATTCACTTGACTGTTTAACATATTCAAGTCACTTTCCTGCTGAAATATTAGTCAATCAATTCACATGAAGTAGACATAAGTATAGACATTCCTCACTTAACGATATCTGTTGAACAATCTCGGACTTACGATCAGTTATAAAATCACACATAATAAAAAAAATATTTTACGTTGCACGACTGATTGTTCTGTTGACCATGTTCACTAGAGTCTATGAATATAGAATACAGCGCAGTAGGTAATCTGTTCAATGAAACAACCTTAAAGATTAATACTCTCGAGTCAGACATTTTACTGAATCTGACTATATCGCCAATACCCCCAGCAGCTGTTCCGTAATCCATATCAAAGGCTGGCAGTGCATATTCGGGAAAAAAACATGGTCGCCTTTATACACGTCGCATTGAATATTTTGAGTCTTTTGATTGGTTAACCTTTCTATTGGGGAACTATACAATGAGTCATTTTGGCTGGCTCACTAGTACACCAAGGTACCCAAAAACTCTAACATGTTCTTTCTTCAAAACGAATCAAAATAAATGAAGTGTACCGTAACCAAGTCGGAGAAGTGTACAGAATATAGAGTTGATTTTCGAATTTATTTATTACGGTTACTTAACGAACACGGTAGAGTAATGGATAGCGGCTCGGATTGATGAAACGGAGAGCCGAGTTCGAATTCCAGTCGAATACATTACATTCACTTACGTGCTAATACCCTTGGGAAAGTTATGAATCCTCTTCTTCCCCACCCCCAGACCAGGATATATAGTAATGGATAGCGGCTCGGATTCAGGAATCAGAGCGCCGAGTTCGAATTCCAGCGGAATCCATTACATTCACTTGCGTACTAATACGCTTGAGCAAGGTGTCAATCCTCTTCTTCTCCCCCCAAGCTATGGGTAAATAGCAGGACAGACCAGGATCTATAGCCTAGGAGGCACAGTGGAGTAATGGATAGCGGCTCAGATTGAGGAATCTGAGGGCTGAGTAAGAATTCCAGTCGAATCCATTACATTCACTTACGTGCTAATACCCTTGGGAAAGGTATGAATCCTTTTCTTCTCCTTCCCAGCTATGAGTAAAATAGCAGGACAGCCTTGGATGGCATTTGGTCTACCGCAGAAAGAAATCTGCCTAGTCAGTCATGTATCGAAAATACATGATCGTCTACGCGTGTATCACGCATGCCACATAACTGACTGAGTGAACGTACAGAGCTATGAATAAAATTACAAATGTTTCAAGAGTGACATTAAAGCAATCTGAAATGCGTTACCAAAAACCTGTTTAACGACAAGATCACTGGAACGGAAGTGAGAAATGGCTGTATATACTTAAAGATAGTTATACAGAATCCTGTATTAAACAGGAATTAACCAGGTGGAATAACAAAAAAAAAAAAAAAAAACTGGTGAAATTGTAGATATTTTAGGATAACGTTTATTCGTTATTCTAACTTGTAAGTTTCGCTCCATAATTTCTGCGTAAATCGAAATTTCATTTATGACTATTAAAATAAGAAAAAGTGACAAGATGTATTTTTTCTAAAAGGAATTGATTAATATTTCAGTTGGAAAATAATAAATAAAAATAATGAATATTTTATTATCGTTCCTTGAATTGCTTACCCCAACCTGTTTTCCCAGTGAGAAATCCGAGGCAACGGTATTATTTCTTAGCAACAATTCATTAAAAAGTAGACATCTTAAAATGAGAATATTAATAAACAAGATATATGCAAATAAACAAGGGAGAAAACCCTTAAACTCTGAATAAAAATGTCGCTAAGGAGACGGAGAGATAGAATTCAATACATAAGTATTGAATTAACAATAAATGTTTAATATAAAAATATCTACACGCAATATAGATCCTAATCACATACACATATATTTCGATATAATTTGATAAGTATTTAAATAAATATTAGACAGCAAATGAAACACACACACTCATACAGAGACACACACACATATATATATATATGTATATTTAGGCAGCATATCTTCATTTAAACATGTTTCATTAAATAATATAAACATATTTTGTGTATTTATTTTTATACTGATCCTTTCCAGTTGCTTGGTGTGAAGATGAAATTCATCAAGGAAGGCGCCGTAGTTTTTTCCTACCCAAGTACTTTCGATCTCCTTCGTGATCATCCTCAAATGTAAATTACAGAGCCAAACTTATTGGAAACTGTAATAAAATCTGCATTTCATTGTGATGGTGATTAAAAAAAAGAAAAAGAAAAGAGTGAACGCGCTGTAAGGTATAATTATTTTAAAATTTTAAATTTATCCTTTGGCGCAATAGAATATTTTGTAAAACAATCGTCCCAATATAAGGGAGCTGACCATAAATTGGTAGCGTGCAAAATGACATTTAAATATTTGTAGCACCAAATTTTGAGTGATAAAAACTACATTTTAAAGTAAATAAAAAACAAGACAAAGAGAGGCTTAAAGGGAGATAACTGCGGATTCGAAGTTGGAATATTATTATTGATAACTCTCTCCTCCAATTTGCAAACCCTAGTTATTATATTCTTAATACTTGATATAATGCAAAAATATCACAATGATTAAATCGAATTATTTATAACTATTTATACTGGGATTCATGCATGCAATTACAAGTAATCCATAATAATATTTGAAAAGTTAAAAATAGGGTGGAGTCTGACAAGACCCTTAGTCTTCACTCGCTCGAACCTATTTCTAATCATTGATCTGAGTAATCGGTTGTTTCCAGCTGAAAGTTTAGATACTTCTAAAATCCTTTGACGGCAAACATGGTATCCATATAAATGTCTCGATCTGATGAGGCTATTTAAGAACATGATTCGAGTTTTCAGGTTAAAATGTTTCGTGTTTTTTTGGGTTTTTTTTTAAAAAAAAACATTTCGTGATGTAAACGGTGAATACTTTAAAACTAAGTTCTACAAGAGCAATGCATCGCTACAAACCTTAACAAACGGCTGTCATTATCGAAAGAAAGTGATGCCGTGTCTGTGGTGACATTAAAAAGAATCCTTTACTACCATGAGATATTTCTGCTGAATCACACAATAGATTTGAATAGGAAATCTTTTTTTCTACAGATATTCTGTGACGTTTTCATCGTTTTAAGCAGATATTCAGCTTCGGATTAGCTTCTATTTCTATCTGTACACAATTCTTTTAACCAAATATTTTCAGTTCCTTCAAAGTCTGCAAGAGATTGCAAGAAGCAAATCGAGTATTTTTTTTTGTTGAGTGAGATAAAAGTTTTGGGAGGTAGGAATTATAAAGGTGCCTACAAATAGCAAAAACAGTGAAGCAAAACTTGTTTTTAAAGTTAACGTGAACAACATATTGTTATTTATTTCTATTTAATCAAGCAAATGACCATTTTGACTAACGGCATACAACTTCTAATCTACATGATTAGATACAGTCAATAGATTAAAATATTTGGCAAAACAGAAAACATGGCTCATGAAGAAAATTCCTTAAGGTGCATAGAAAAATTAATGGAATCTTTGTCGATGGTAGTAAGGGTTTAAATAAAGGTATCATCTTTTCATGGTGTGTAAATCATGTATTTAACGATATAGACACAAACATTGGCTAAATAATTAATGTCTTTTTTAAGTGTGAAGATTCATGAAATATTTGTCGTCTGCAAACCTAAATATTGGCTTAAACAAAAGTTTCATGTTCAATTAGGAAAATTGATATTTTCAATTGTTCTTGAAAAAAAAAAGGCAAAGTAAAAATGCGTGTCCTGTCAGATACAGTAAGTCAATTTATTGGAAACAATGTATATGTGTGAAATCCCATCGGATTACGACCCGTATAATCAAATCGATTCAAATCAAAGTGAGCAGAGTGCTAGATTCACGTATCAGGTTTAAAACATTTGAATGATAATAAAAGCAAAGATGGCTATGATGATCTTAATGGGAAAGTTTTCGTATGACAGCAACAGATTTCTCTCTGTTTACAGATTGACAAGTGACTTTACCGCAGGGCAAGATGTCTCCTCGTCTATCTCCCTAATGAAGTCAATGTTCGTTCGAGCCATATTCGCGATTGCTGTTAGCAAACAACTTGCGACATTGGTCTGTCATGGGAAATATTTCTTTTTTTTTTTCGGCACGTCGACATATTTACAACATCGTCTGTAGAAAATGAAAAAAAAAAAAAACAGATAAAAAGACACCTCTAAAACATGTTTAAAAATTTAATATTTTTTCAATAGGAAAGTGTTTCCATTGTTATCTAATTGGCATTAGCTGTTCATTCGCGAAGTCTTCTCATGGGAAACCTAACAAATCTTTTTCCAGACGATGTGATGTGTGCAAACTAGATCAACTCTACTTTATTATGATGCAAGTATTCCAATGAATGAATATTTTGGGATAGAAATCTCTCAAAAAAATATCATCATCAAGCAATGTACAATAAAGCAAACTCTAACGAAGAGAACAACGATTTGAGGAAGAAAAATATAAAAATGACTTTAGATTATTTTAAATTAGGAAATTATAACATTTCTTTCATCTAAGCTTCTTCAGGGTATTAAATCAACCATTCGCCCTTGCATGAAGTATTGCTGCTATATATAGTCTGGAGCGCCTTCTGTTTGTCTCAAGGTTCTTGATAAAATCCAGAGACGGATATGCAATGTAATTTGACCTAATCTGGCATCTCATCTGCAGTCGCTCTCTCAGAGACCTGTCGTCTCCTCCGTCTGTCTTTTTTACAAATACTTTCACGGTAATTGCTCCGATGAGCTGCTTTCGCTGGTTCCCAGACTTCATGAATTTAAGCGTTCAACTAGGCTGGCACCTCACTCTCACCCATTCACTGTCGAAACTGTTAAATGTAGCCGTCTCTTCTACTCCAATAGCTTCATGTTTCGCACCTCTCTCCTGGGGGACTCCCTCCCCTTTTCCTGTTTCCCTGATAGCCATAATCTCCAACTATTCAAATGTAATATCAATCGACGTCTCCAGATGCCCTGATCTATCCCCTATCCTTCTCTTCATCCTTTTCTATATCACTCCTATTTGCTCTCGCTCCAACTCTCTGTAACCCCTTGCGTGCTAGTGGCTTCCCGCCTTGCTTGAGGTGAAACTGAAGGATATGCATAGAATTATTATTATTAAAAGATTGATACTGACGAATATCTTCATTGTTGGTTTGATTACATCGTTTGCGATGAAACTATAATCAAGCCATTTCCGCCTGTAGACCAGACATCGCATCATTGGTATAAAAATAGGATCTTAATTATGTCTCTAACAGAAAACAGAATTTAAGGCAAAAAAAGGGTGAGGTCTTAAAATATCCCTGAAAAACTTAAAATCATTAATCGTACTTGATGTTATGAAGACACATTTACGTAATTATATTTGGCGAAAGTTTTTTCTCTCTTTAAAATGATATCAGGATCATAGAAAGAAAACCAGTAAACAGACTGAAGTAATCCGTGTCTATGTTCGGGAAAACAGCGTGTAAATGCAGAATCTGAAAGTCTGCATTTAGTCACTGGTGCCACATCTGCATGAATTTAAGCAGGCTAATAGATTGGCATCTCGATCCTACCATTTCACTGTAGAAACAGTTAAATGTAACCACCTGTTCTACTTTAACAGTTTCTTCTCTCGCACTTCCCATCAGTGGAACTCCCTTCCTCTTATTTGCTTCCCTGATAGATATAATCTTTTAAAATAAATTTAAATGTAATGTCAATCGTCATCTTCTGGTGCCTTGATTCTGATCACCGTTTTTATCTATATCCTTTCCTAAACCCACCCTCTTTCCTCTTGTTCTGACTCACTGTAACCCTTTGCGTGCTAGTGGTACTTCCGCCTGTCTTGGGGTGAAATGCTTAAAAAAAAAAGTCATGTCAGAACCCGAAAAACTTTCGAATTTGGATGTTTCCCAATTTGGGAATTTTCATGGCGACTGCACTGCTATTTTCACTGGTGCCCTAACTGCATGAATTTAAGCGTGCTACTAGGCTGGCATCTCGGTCCCACCCTTTCACTGTCGGATCAGTTAGATATAACCGCCTCTTCTACTCCAACAGCTTCTTCTCTCACACTTCCCGGCAGTGAAACTCCCTTCCTCTTACTTGCTTCCCTTATAGCTATAATCTTCAAATATTCAATTGTAATGTCAATCGACATCTAACGACTTGATCCTGATCCCCCATCCTTCTCTATATCCTTACCTCAAACACCCCTCTTTACTCTTACTCTCACTCTTTGTAACCCCTTGTGTGTTAGTAATTTCCAGTGCTGACTAAGACAAGGATCCGTCTTGGCACCTATGTTATTCTCTTTGTATCTGGCTTCCCTGATGGTTTATAATCTTCAAATATTCATATGTAATGTCAATCGACATCTTCTGATGCCTTGATCCTGATCCCCTCCTTCTCTATCCTTTCCTCAAACACCCTCTTTACTCTTACTCTCACTCTCTGTAACCCCTTGAGTGCTAGTAATTTCCAGTGCTGACTAAGACAAGGCTCCGTCTTGGCACCTATGTTATTCTCTTTGTATCTGGCTCTAGTCCCTGATGGTTATAAGCTTCAAATATTCAAATGTAATGTCAATCGACATCTTCTGATGCCTTGATCCTGATCCCCCTCCTTCTCTATATCCTTTCCTCAAACACCCCTCTTTACTCTTGCTCTCACTCTCTGTAACTCCTTGTGTGTTAGTGACACTCCCGCCTTGCTTGGGTTAAAATGCTTAAAAATAAAATAAAAAAATGACGGATAATTGTGACTTGCCTGTCTGTAAAATAATCTTATTTTATGTCGTGTATCGGGAAAGGGAAAATGTAGAAGTAACTCATATTTATTAACCAGGTTGAAATGAATTCGTAGCCAACAGCAAATGTAACAATTCTAAATCCTAGCTTTTTAAATGAGCTCAACCTTGTCGGCGGTGACAAATGCGCAAAAGTCTTGGCAGAAAAAAAAGGCACATTAGGAAGGCTGAAAAACACATCGGCCGAAAGGCAATATGTGAAAATGAATGCGAATTTTATAGAAATTTATGAGAACCAAGAATAATCAGGTGATATATATATATATATATATATATATATATATATATATATATATATATATATATATATATATATATATATATATATATATATATATATATATATATATATATATATATATATATATATATATATATATTATATATATCTAAAAATTTATATATAATTTTTATAGAATGTATCTGTAAAGGAACAAAATGAATAAAAAGAGGAAAATATGTTCTTATCGTTTTCGTCTTCTGTGGGACATTTGGTTTGATAAAAGTGCCTCAGATGATGAGACATATCGGCTAAGAATAGTTTTTCCTCTTGTCTTATATATATATATATATATATATATATATATTATTATTATTATTATTTTTATTATTATTATTAAATAGTAATTTTATTTTATGTTTATCTACCTGAATATTCGAGAAATCTTAATTGAAAATATGCACCCAATGGCAGGGTTCAGAACTTGTGTTACATGGGCGCACTGTCACCATATCTGACGTACAATGACATCTCGGCTACGTAAGGCCTCCTGATCAAAGAAAGCCCGAATAGTGCTTTTGAACACATATTCTTCCCGATCAGAATAATCCGGTTGCAAGAGAGATCTTCCATTAGCCGTCCTCTTGAATCAGGACAGCACTATCTCCTCAGAGCACTTGATGCAGGTCTCTGTGTTAAGTGTGAAGCTCTCTGAACGGATGAATAGCATAACGTCACCATCAATAGTGATAACGTCAAACACATTCGTAATCAGCATTAGACTCAACCAACTTCTTCCAATCTTCTGCATTGTACTCAGATTCACACACAAACACTCTGAAATATTTGTATTTGAGAATGCCAAGCATTACAGCAAACCGTTTCCAAATTTATGGCAGAGTAAATTAGGTCATGGTAAACTTTTTTTCTCGCAGACGGTGCACAACTGACTCTACTATAAACTGCAGTTAACGAAATCAGAAACAAACAATGCGTATGCGTAACATAAAAATATAAAATGGTGATAATTTACTCTTCACCCTCTCTCTCTCTCTCTCTCTCTCTCTCTCTATATATATATATATATATATATATATATATATTACATAAAAATCCAGAATTACCTCATATGGGGGTATATAGATCGATTTCAACCAACGAAAAGTATATTAGTCTTATTCAACTCCGGTATATAGACAGTTCGTGTCGGAATTAGAACTTAAAATTTTCCTTTGACAGTAGTCGAGAATAAATCTATGCACCCCTGCCCCATATGAGGTAATTTTGGATTTTGTTCTGAAATTTATATGCACGGTTATAATATTACATTGTTCTCTGTTTGTGAATCAGTTTTAAGATTTAAAACTACTAGGATCCACTTGGATTATATAACAACGGATTTGTTACCTCTACTATATATATATATATATAGTATATATATATATATATATATATATATATATATATATATATATATATATATATATATATATGTTAGCAGCATGGCCGGCGTTGCCGTGCTTGATTCAAAATCGTACGACTAATACAGCAATCGCTATCACTTGACTTGAAATATTTTTGCCCTTCCTTGCCTTTAAAGGAGTGCCCTTTCCCGTGCTGATGTTGCTACATACCTTACTTCTTGCACTGAAATATAACCGCCATTTCTCCCCCAACAGTTTCTTTTCTCACACTGCGAATTTTTTCTAAGCTCTATACTAAACATTAAATCTGTTATGAAAAAGAACTAAACAAAATGAACACAAAACGATCAGCTTTAAAAAAGGACTCGTAACTGAAAAAACCGAATGAAAAAAGAATGTTAACAACAAATACTTTTTCACACCCAACCCAGTTCTGCGGAATCAGAATCAACGTTGAGTTTAAGCAAGCGAATGAGCCAATTGGAGTAAAGTGCCATGCAGATTTAAATTTTTCCCACTTGTGACGAATGCAGCTATCTTTTTTTTTTTTTTGCATGCTAGCATGCTAGTTAACATTCGTGTCAGTCAGCTGTTGGCTCTCATGCTGGCCAATAGAATCTTCCTGCCTATTCGTGGCAGCCAGCTATAGGCTCTCACTCTGGCCAGTACAAAATGGCCGCAAACTACATGAAAATTGC